ATGGATAATTATTCTTGTCATTGGAACCCTATACCTCAGATTTTTTGTGACAGTTCTTAGGAAACTCTCAAGGGTTAAAAAAATGGGGATGGGAGGTTTCGCAGATTTCAAGGAATCGAATCGCCTACAGAGATTCGATGTCAAGGTTCATGCATCTTCCGGAATATTCCTTAGCCCTCCGACGACGACGACGGCGACGAAGTTGCGTCGCGCGCGCTTACGAGTAATTTAACACCTTGGGGCGATGAGGGTCCGCATTCTCGACGCACGACTCTGCGAGATAACGTTCGGCATTGCGCATTCGAACAACCGATACATGGATAATTCTAGAATGACTTTGAACTCGCCGGTGCTCTCGCACGAGGCTGGGGGATAGGGAATTCGCGAAGCTTCTCAGTGGGATGAGGAAGCTGACGAATCGGGGAATGGGGGATTCTCGAAGCCTCTCAGTGGGATGAGGAGGCTGACGCGCGACCACTGCGAGATAACGTTCGAGGTCGAGTTGCCTGCCGTCCGAAATCTGCATGGGAAGGGTATCGTTTTTCCTGGAATCAACCTCGCCACAAAAGTCGCCGAAACCGCTTTTCGGCACTGCGCTCAAAGGGGATGCCGCTCGGCTCTCTCTCTCTCACTGATTCACCGATGCTACGCACTAGCCTGCGCTATGAAGTTAGGGACAAAAGTTCTGGAAAATTCCTGGAGGATTGCATCAGCGATGCTGCGCATTTCTGCGAGATAACGTTCGAGGTCAAACGGGCTGAGGGCTGACGACCGAAACCTGCACGCACGTGTACGGGTCCGTCGAAGCTTCTGGAAGGCTTACTGGGGTGGGGGGCAAGGGGCTGTCTCAAAACATCGCGCGAGAGGACCGCCGGCTCTGGGAGCGATCCTTCCCGACTTAGCACGGACACGAACCGTCGAAGCGTCCAGAATGTTCTAGAATGTTCTAGAATGTTCTAGAAGGTTCTCGATCGTGCGTAATTCCCGAAATCGAGCGCGAAATTCCCGGAATGAGACGCAAAATTCTCGGAATCGAGCAAAAATTCTTGGAATCGAGGGTTTCGGTGACGTCACTTCCGGAAATCACGACGGTAACTTAGCACGGACACCCACCTTCGAAGGTTCTGGAGTGTCGGTATTATGTCGGTGCAGGAATCTATATCCAGAACTCCCATACTTATACTACTTTTCATCTTCATCTTCTGCCTTGCTTTCACAATAAGACATAAAGAATATGCTCCATTATCAATTCATCTCCAGGGGGTCATCAAACATCAAGCCTCATTCGATGAGTTGACTAAACAGAATGCTGACTTAATAAGCATGTTAGAGAAGGCAACAGACGCTGAAGACTTGAATGAAGAGACAGCCGAAACTAGTACCGAGAATATGAACAAATATCAGAGAACCACAGAGAAAACATCTCACCTTATGAATTCGTCTCGGCGAAGTTCTGCCAAGTCCTCGCGGCGATCCAGTGTGGTTAGTCTTTAGAAGGTCAAGCAAAAATAAATTTAATTGTATCAACGATTTCATACCAACTGAATTAATTTACAGATTTCACAAAGCATAGAAAATTTCGACAACACTAAAGATGACGACGAGGAAGTTGCGACAGGAATAATGTCTAACAAAGTGTACACTGACTACTTTTCAGCAAGTGGTTCTATGTGCACGTTAGTAGTCCTTTTTCTAAATTTGATAATATCCCAGATCGCATGTAGCGGCACAGATTACTGGATTACTTATTGGACTAATATAGAAGCAGTTCGAGAAAAATCGAAGAATCAGATCATCACAACACTTACTGATACCGAATATGTTACTGCAGTGAACGACACTATTCTTTCGTTTTTTTCGCTAACCGATGAAACAGGTTTTATCACCAGAAACAACGCCATTTACATCTATACTTTCTGCATCATTTGTACTATAATATTTACTTTGTCACGTAATTTTCTTTTTATATGTGTTTGCATGACTGCTAGTCGTAATTTACATAATACTATGTTTGCTAACATACTGCAAGCCACTATGCGCTTTTTCAATACCAATCCTTCAGGTAAGTTGTAATAACTTTACGAAACTATAAAATGTATTTAGGAACTTTCAAACTATATTACGTGCTAGTATACATCTGATTTTATTACCAAAAATAACTCTATGATTTAACTTTCTATTTAATCATCAGGGAGGATTCTAAACAGATTTTCGAAAGATGTTGGTTGTATGGATGAATTACTGCCAAAGGCTTTTATAGACGCGATACAAGTTTTTCTCGTAATGATCGGAATAATAACCATGGTACTTATCGTTGACTATTGGATGACAATACCAATTGTTATAATAGCAGGGCTCTTCTACGTGTTTAGAATATACTATTTGTATACAGCACAAGACATCAAACGCCTAGAAGGAATCAGTAAGTAGTATAATATTTCTATGTTCTTACTGCAATGCTTAAAATATATGCAAAATTGCAGTGTATGAAAAACCTATATGCATATCGTGAAGTGTAAGTATCACTACTTAACAAATAAAAATATCCTTTTCACTATAATATCATAGTTCTGTGCAGTATTGAAAAGGGTATCATATCGCAACAAATAATTCCACTTTTGTCTGCCTCCAGGCAGACAAACGGTCGTAAATTAAAAAGAATCAATCAACGTTTGAGTGGAAAGGATGTTTAAAATAAAGTGTAGCAAAAAATACTAGGACCACGATTTTCGCAATAACGGTGTAACCGGGTGCGCATCCCTCTTGCGAAAATCGAGATTGCATACGGAACGTAGATGGATTGCCCTGACTCTGCGCAGCTCACAAAGTCGCCATTAGTACCATGTCAAGATTCCTAATCACCCACTTTATGCGCCAAATACCACCCAATGTAAGCTAGCTGCACTGTGCACCTGTGGTGCCCGACTAAACTGCCGCCTAGGAACCGACGTCGCCCCCGCAGTAGCGGCAAGGCACGGTCTTCGGTTATTTTTTATGAAGATAGGGCGCTCTTTTTTATAGCTCATGGATCAATTTATTTTCATTTTATTTCAGACAATTTGATAAATCGTGACAGTTTTGTATCTACACTTTCTCGTGTTCGTACATACTCGTCGTCAGGCATATCGCTCCAGTGTTACCGGGCGTTGTGGACATAGGACCTTTGCCCACCATCCGATACCGAATACGCGGACCCATCTTACGTCGCCGACTTTTCTTGCAAGTCCACACTACACGTCCACACAGCCTTGTTCACGTGTCTCTTCTTCAACTCCGTTATCTTAAAATTTCTGAAGGTCTCTTGTCACTGTTCCGTCTTCTTTCGGGCTGCCGTGTGTACCGACTTGTTAATTCCCCTCACTCTCTTTTCCGAGTATATTCACATTCTTTTCTGAATTGGCTATGCGCTGAAACAGATAATAACAAAATTTTTCTCTATCCCTGTAATAACAAAATTTTTCTCTATCCCTGTAACAGGATACCAAAATGAAAAAGTAAAAAAACAACTATTTATAGCAACATCTGTCAAGCCATGCTCAGTGTCTCTCCCACTATACACCACATCGATCAATATACGTCGTGGAATAGGCACTGTCCCAGAAGAAGTATAACTATTGCCCATACATTTGTCTTTATGAAAAGATCCTGTGGGTTTTACATTATTAGCTGAGATCGACAAGTTTGAAATTCTACCACATGAGAACATGTATTTCATATTCGAACTTCCGAATTGTGTCAGGAGGAGCTAGAGCCAGGTGACGTTTGATGTCGGTCCTTTCAATTTTGGTCCCAAAATTGAAAAATTAAAAAATTTTAAATAACCGGTCAAATTTTGAAAAACTACTATAAATTGCGCTAAAGTCAGTTCAAGGTGGTTTTTGAGGTTAATTCTTCCATTTCGGCCTTAGAATTTCAAAATAGAAAGTGAGGGGTCCCATATGACGAATCAAAATATGAAAAATTGTGTGTTTACCGTGAATTTCAGTTATGGATACTTCTTGAGGTCACTAAATACGATTACGTATTAGCTTAAAGTTCCTGGTTTTGTTTCTGTTGAAGTAAAATCGCAGGAAAATAAAATATTTTTATGTAAAAAATTTTTAATTTGTGTAAATTTAGACATCCTCCATATTAAGTTCGCCATTTTTAATTAAAACATGTTTGCTCCATATTCTAATAGAGAATCATTAAAAATCTCTGTATATCATTTTTTATCAAAATAAGACGTTAAATTCTGAAATAAAACGCTGGGTCCTTAGGGACCACTCGTCCTTGTAGGAGCAACACAAATGATAAGTTCATACACATCGTGACGTAAAATTTTGATTCACATCACAAATCAGGCGAATTTGGGCTACATTGTAGGTTCCGATGGGTTACGGGGCGTTTCATATGGCGTTGGACAAAATTTATTTTTAAAATTTGTATTGATTTCGTATTGTTCATTGTATCGTTATTCGCTTGAAGAACTAATAATTCAGGATAGTGTGTTCTTCAGGATAATAGAAATATTTGGACGATGATGAGTGACGCTCAAGTCGTAATTTGGTTATTCCTTCCAATCATAAAATCAACAAAGCTGTCTGTCCTACGTACACTTGCGCCACGGACCTGAGGATAACCAATACGGTGATAAGCGATAGTTCTGTCTTTTCCCTTCCTTCTTTCTTTTACTTGGAGTTTTTGCGTCAAAATCGTTTATTCCACGCCTCACGGAAGCATTTCCCTAGCACATGGGTGCGTGAGTCATGAACGTATCGTTTTGTATCGTATCACTTAGAATTACTCATTATTATTGTTATAATTTTTTTCTTTCTAAATTAAATTGGATCCGTCGATGGATTTTGGTTCTGATATATATATTAATAAAAAATTAATTACAAAAACAAGTTCATTTTTTAAACATATTTTCGTTGTACATATTACCAATTATATGACGAAATTCCTGCAAATGGATCTGGTTCTACATATTATGTTAGACCCTGATCTCACTCATGCGTCATTCTGTGATAAAATGACGTAATGAGCAAATGTTTTGCATAATCATGAAATATATGTATTGTGACATGTACCGTTCATAGGCGTCGCCTCCAAATAATCCGTGGTTGCTCCCAACGTGCTGTTATCAAAGAAAAGATCCGAAGATCTAATTGTTGGGCGCCAGGTGCGGCTTTCCCGCACCACCATCCCTCACCACGGCCGTTTTCAGGTTTCCCGGCGGCTCAGCCTCAGCGCACTGAAAATGGTAGAAGGGAACATGGGGGCGACGAGAGAGAATTTTGGAGTCAACGGATAGGCGCGCAAAATGATAAAACAGCGAGTAGGTTACCGTTCCGTTTATTACCATCAAATAAACGGCGGATTTTACAATACAAATCCCGTCGCGTACAGTGTGTCCTCCAACGGCGGCTCACGACTATTCCGAGTCGTGATTTCCAGCCTGCCCAAGACCTGTCCCTATTTCGGTGTCCCTACCGAATCCGCGAATCCCCTCGCGATCCTAACAGGTCTCGTTGGAGACGAGCCTTTCCTTCCTCGGGAGTGTGCCCTCTGACGTCGGTAGCCACCTGAGGCATCCGTGTGTCCGCACCACTCCCGCTCGGCTATCTTCTCGCGCAAGATATTCTCTAAATAAGACCGCCTTTGCGGTACTTACCGAGAACTGGCTGTCCCGTCAGTCCCGTAACAAATCCAAATCGTGGTGGCCGTGTCCCTTCCGCCTATCCCCGTGGTGCCGCATCCCGGCTCCACGAGGGTATACATCAAACACTCGGAATTTCACACACTCGGCCACGCACTAGCACTAGACTATCCCAAAAAAACCCGGGAGCCATGGTTCTCTGCGAGAGATCCCACCAATCGCAATCCGGGATTATCTGATAGCTCCGCTATCGCCCGAGCACGGAAGAAGGACTCCTTTTTCGCGGTTCGCCGGACGCCCGAGTCCTTACACGCGGACTCCCCGCGACACACTCTCTATCCTACCTACCGCTATTCGCGGTAGGTCAAAAATCCAAAACAAATCTCCTCTCCCGCGCCCTCCCCGCAGACCCGCAAACCGTAGCCGATCAAAGTTCCCGGGGTACCGGCAATGCGTCCTGGCGGTGGAGCACCCCTTGCGTGCGGGCTCCCAACCCAAAAGGTCTCCGTGCCTCCGCCGCCAGTCCACTAGTTTCCCCCGTTCCCTCCTCCCAACCACGGACCTACGAACTCTTTGGAGATGGAGGCTGGAGGCACTGCCGTGCTGCCGGCAGCGCGCGGAGGTGCGGGGCTTCTGTAACGTGTCGTCCTGATGGAGCACCCCTTGCGTGCGGGCTCCCAACCCAAAAGGTCTCCGTGCCTCCGCCGCCAGTCCACTAGTTTCCCCCGTTCCCTCCTCCCAACCACGGACCTACGAACTCTTTGGAGATGGAGGCTGGAGGCACTGCCGTGCTGTCGGCAGCGCGCGGAGGTGCGGGGCTTCTGTAATGTGTCGTCCTGACGCCACGTTACAGTATAAAACTCTATGAGCCAATATTTGTTATCAGCTAATCAAAATTTGTATATCTAAAAAGTAAAATCTATACTGTACTTTTAATGGAATTGTGCGAAGAATAGAGCTCTGATATTGCGAAAAATTTCAAACTGTCAACAATATCGCGTACTCATATTATAAAAAAATCATTTACTTAAATTAAAAATTTGTATTTAATGTTTAAATAATAGCGAAAAGCCCGGTATTCTCTCATGTTAACGCAACGATGAATGGGTTGACAACAATAAGAAGTCGAGGAAAAGACATTGAAAATATGCTACAAGAGGAATTCGATAGATATCAGGATACTCATACAGGAGCATGGTATCTCACGATTGCCACATCTTGTGCATTTGGTTTCGTTCTTGACTTGATTGCCTGCGCATTCGTGGCATGTGTCTGTTTCTCCTTCATCATAATGGATAATGGTATGTACATCATTTCTGCAATGTATAGTATAAAACAATACATTTTATAAACAAAAATATGACAATATTTATTATGAAGGTGATACATTTGGCGGCAACGTGGGCTTGGCCATATCACAATCATTAATCCTTACGGGAATGCTGCAGTATGGAGTGAGACAAAGTGCAGAAGTTATGGCTCAAATGACGTCTGTAGAAAGAATTTTGCAGTATACAAATCTCCCTAAGGAAGGACCAATGACTACAAGTAATCCACCACCGTCAACGTGGCCATCGACGGGTCACTTGACACTGAAAGATGTTTACATGAGATATAATAAAGATGATCTACCTGTACTTAAAGTAAGTTAATAACACTGGTAATAAGGAACTAATATAATCAAACTATGACTCTTATTTCTTACGGTCACAGAATCTTTGTCTGGACATAAAAGATGGATGGAAGGTCGGTATAGTTGGCAGAACAGGAGCCGGAAAGTCGTCTCTCATATCAGCGCTGTTTCGGCTATCAGATGATGGTCTAGAAGGAGAAATTAAACTCGACGGAATCGATATTCGATCAATTGGTTTGCATGAATTACGACCTTGTATTTCTATTATTCCACAAGAGCCGGTCCTGTTTTCCGAAAGTTTACGATACAACTTAGATCCATTTGGACGGTACCCTGACGCAGCTCTTTGGAGTGCCCTTAAGGAAGTAGAATTGAATGAACTTTCGCTAGATGACCAAGTTACCGGCGGTGGTAACAATTTTAGTGTTGGTCAAAGACAATTGATTTGTCTAGCTAGAGCTATTCTTCGGAATAATCGGATTCTAGTTCTAGACGAAGCTACAGCTAATATAGATATTCAGTAAGATCTTTATGAAAACGTACATACAGTGTAACCTCTATCCTTGCATTCTTGATTGCCGTGCGGAAGATTGCCCACATCTTGTCGACGTATGACGTCTGTGAGAAGGTAGATTGTCGCCCGATTAACGTCAGTCTCTTAACTTTGTCTCACAGATGGTTGCGGAATCAATCAGTCCACTAGACATGCAACGATAGGGGTGTACTGTAAACCAATCGATAATATACTGCAAATGCATTACGATATATTCATATTTGTAGAACCGATTCATTAATCCAACGGACCATAAGAACTAGATTTGCAAGCTGTACTGTCTTGACTATAGCACATAGACTAAACACGATCATCGATAGCGACCAAGTTTTAGTGATGGACAACGGTGCTATGGTTGTAAGTACTTTTGATATTTTCTTTCTCAAGTGTAGATTACAAATTTAGATTGAAAATTATAGAGCTTCTGAAAATGTCTAATACATTCGCTATCGGATAAAAACGTTGTGTGTGCGCGCGTGTCTTCCTATGTATTTTACCGACAAAATTCCTGACTGAGTGGTGCTCTGGTGGAATTGAATATACCAACTTTATTATACTAAGAAGTATTAAGGAGGAACAGTACTTCGTTTCCTTCCTGTGAGTAGGGTTCGAGCAAGGAAACTTCACACTTAAAAGTCGAAGTACACAAAGCATTGCCATTAAATACATTTTACTCGACAAAAGCTTCCAATAAAATATCGATTGAAAAAAAAAGATTCGATGAAGCCTACAAAATATGTGTCAGCAATAGATCATACAACTATGAACTCCTAACGTGAAACCCATAGAGAGATTTTCGGATCCGAGTAAATTGCGGATGCCATTGAGCATTACTGAAACACGAGGGTCTAGATCAGCTGTTTCAACATAAATTTTCAACCACGTCACGCGTGTTTTCATGACTTGCCACAACGCGAGGTAACACCGTCACGTAGAAATTGATCGATTATTAACGTTCCTCTTTAAAGTATATTTAATTCCTGGTTTACAGGAGACAGTAGAAATGGCATATTTTTGGGACTTCGAGCTTAAATATACTCACGCACCAAATTATACTGTTTTTCCAACAGCGAATGCACACAATGTAACTGTGGACTTGTTTATAAACTTACTCTGAGCGCATTCTGACCTTTTAAAAGAAGATATTTATATAGGTTTAACCATATTTTAACTATCATCCCTAGCTCAAACTAAGTGCGTTTACGAGCATCCTCTATATGATTAAAGTGATCGTGTCTCCAGAAAGGCTTTATTACTCAATATTAATATCTCCATTTCCTATGTTTGGAATAGGAATTTGGTGTCCCTTATCTACTACTACGTGATAAACCCAATGGACCGTTCAGTCAAATGCTACAGCAAATGGGAAAAGTAATGGTGGATAATCTCTATCATCTTGCCGAAATGTCTTACATACAGAAGCAAGCTGAACAGCTAAATCACAACACGTTGGAAACAAGTACTATGGCAAGAATTAATACAAATAACACCAACATACAAGATTCAACCCATATGTAATCACATCATAAACGTCTTGATGTAGATATCTTAAAAATATCACAATTTTACGAAAGGAGTCTGTTAGAATCTAAGGTTCACGCACTTACTGTATCTATCAGTGCTAACTGATACTACGTTAATGTCACTCAGTTCCAATTGTGCCGCTGGGCAGTTAGTTCATTGTAGAATTTTCTGCGAGTAATTTGTGCTGAAATTTTATGTAATTTTCATTTGAATACAGTCGAAATCTCTCATAGCTTACATTTTCATACGTTGATGCATAAAGTTTCACACGGTGACTAACCAGGGCGCTTAATAAATGTGTAACAGGTTTTTGTTTACAACATTACACGTGTTAGAAAAGGAAAACCATACACAGAGCAACAGGCCCACTCCAGCCAGCTCTGGCCCGTGATTGGTACATCACATAGCTTATTTTGCCTCCACATTACGTAAGCTATGAGAGGTTCCACTGCAAGTCCTTCGTTCTAAATACACACTCTATACTAGCATACATTAGTCTCTCATTATGCTCGCCTATTCTCAAGCAAATTCACATTACAAATTCCATTTCCTTAACAACGCCGCTATTCTTAGATGCAACTTCATAAAGTATATGGATGTGTCTTGACATTGAAAATGAAAGAAAGGGTGTACAGTAGACTCTCGTTAAGTGAACGTTTTTTGGTGTGTAGAGAGTGAGAGAGTTTTTTGGTGTGGTGTGTTTTTGGTGTAATGAGAACCCGCACACTTCAGCAGTTTTTATCTTACGCTTGTCAACGACACATTCGGTAGCTGATAGTTGGGACAATCAGAGTGCTTCTAGGTGCAAGAGACGCGAGCAGTCGGAGGAAATGGTAAGACTGCATATCGCCCTAAGGTGACCGAAGCGACGTTGATCAGCCAGAGTGAAAATACAAATAGTTCTGTATGTACCATAGAAAAAACACAACTCTAGTACAAATTATGACCGAGTGGAAGCAGGGCACTAGTCAGTACAAACTGCCGCCTGGCCAGATTTCGCTTAGGCAGCCCAGTCCGACATGCAATGTAACGCATGTGTCGAATTGAGCCTAGTCGAGCTATCTAGTCAGGGTCAGATTTGATTTCCTTTCCAGTGTTATGAAGTATATCAGGTTTACTATATTATTAATATTCATAAAAATATATCAAATGTACAATTGGCATAATACTATTGTTACGTATATCGACCTTCATTCCTAAACAGAAGAATAACGTAGCCAACAGGGAGCATAATTGCAGACTCAGCATGTTACCCAGTGCATTGCCCGTGCCACCAACCCAGCTGGTTAGCCGAGTTCATTCCTAACGTCGTAACCGTACCTAGAGCATCAGCAAAAATCGACTGTATAAGCAGCCAAAATCATGGCACAGACGCTCAGAAAATCATTCAATTTCACGTGTAAAGATCGGACTGCACGTTGTCACTCGTGGCTCTAACCGTTAGAGTATTAGATTCAGTTTTAGTTTTAAATTATTTATTATTTTTATAATTTCAGTTTCATTTGTGGGATTTATGAATATTGTTTTTGGATTACTTTTGGGTAGTTGTAAATTTCTGTTATTTGGTTTGGTTATTTTGTTACTCAGTGTTTCTCCAAGTTTGCAATAGTACTCATTCATTTTATTCACAATTTCTTTCTTATCTTTTATGATATTATCATCAATTTTCAACTGAGAAATATTAGTATCCGTTTTCTTTTTAGTTTTGCCAATTCTTTTGTTTATGCATGTCCAGAGTTTTCTGGGATCATTACTATTTTTTTCTATTGTTTTTTTATCATGGTTGTTTTTTGCTTCCTTTATGACCTTATCTAAGGTTTTTACAAATTGTTTATAATTGGCTTTTAATTCTTCGTTATCTGGATTTTGTTTTAATTCATTGTATAGTTTTTCCTTTGTATTACACGAATTCAATATTGCTGTTGTTATCCAGTCTTTTCTTGGACTTTTGTTTGAATTGCGAACTTTCTGTTTTTTGTATTTTGATTTATCAATGCAGAATTTAATGTCTTTTATTATATTATTTATTTTTTCATTCGGATCTTGTATATTTTTATACTTTGTCCAGTTTATTTGTTTAGCCGTACTAAACAATTTTTTGTAGTTGTAATAATACACATCAGCATTTGTCTCTTTGTTGTTACTGTTAAATTTACCATTTTTTATTTCTAAAAATAGCGGATAATGATCAGTTATCGGCACCATAAGCGTTATTGCTTTTGTGTCGAGAAAGTCTGTCTTAATAAATATATTATCAATACATGTTCCTATCTCTGTAGTTATATTTGATGGTCTAGTGGTATTTGTAATTCCCGGAAGGAAACCTTTTTCTAATAAGTTGTCTAGAAATTCAGTGCTTATAGTGTTACAATCTAGTATATTTATATTAAAATCGCCAATTATTATATGATTTTTTGCTTTTCTTTTGTATTCTAAATAAGTTTTTAAATTTAAATTAAATTCCGTACAACTCAGTCCGTGTGATCTGTACAGAGATGATATTTATAGTTGTTTGTTATTATTTAATGTAATAGTAGTGTTTAAAATTTTAAGTTTGTCTATTTCTATCGTTTCATTAGTGTGTGTTTCATTCTCTTTTACATATATCACTACATCATCATTCTTATTAATTACGCCGTGGTTATAATATAATTTATAATCTTTTATTCTATAATACTGATAATGTGTTAATTTCCATAACTGTACATACAATAACATACGGTTTTATCTCGAGACTTTTAATAAAGATTTGAAGTTTTTCAAAATTCGCATTTAGGCTTCTAATATTTAAATGTAAAATTAGACTATTATTACTATTTCGGTCTTTGTTAAAAGTCTCGATATCCCTATACATACGCTCCTGTTCATTTATGCTATCTTGCATGTCTTCAATTAAGTCCATCTTTGCCGCCATTGTTGCTTTGCTGTTGTTGGGAGGTCTGTTGCCTGGTTCTTTCTCATTTATGCTATCTTGCATTTCTTCAATTAAGTCCATCTTTGCCGCCATTATTGCTCTGCTGTTGTTGGGAGGTCTGTTGCCTGGTTCTTTGTTGCAGGGAGGTAGTTCTCGAATTTACTGTTTTTCCAGAGTTCTTGTTTGTATTTAATTGCCTTTGGTAAAGCTGTTTGTTAGCTTGCATATTGCACAATTGTTTCATAGCGCTTGATTCATCAAATGCCGGTAAAGTAGGCTCAATCAGGTAATCAATAGAGTTAATATATTGCTTTATTTTCTTTTTAAGTATACTACACTTCAGCCTATCTGTTGGTAAGTGGTCCGTTGGTAAACTTGTTCTGTATGTTGTGTTGTTGTAACTACAATTTATACATTCGATGTTTGAATTTTTACACTCACTCACGTTGTGATTATCGGAACACTTAATACAGACAGGATCATTTCTACATTTGTTTGTGTTATGTCCAAATCTTCCACAGTTGAAACAAGGATTAACGTTTATGAGATCATAGGCTTTGCAGCACTGATGTCCTACGAAAATCTTGTTATTACTTTCCCGAATGTTCTTATAAATTTCAGGCGATACTTCCATTAGGACTGTATCGGTTTTGTTTCTTTTATTAGTGTACATATGCAGTACCTTAGCCTTGTTTTGAAATTGTTTGAAATTCCTTGTATCAAAATCTAATTCTATTTCATCTTCATCCATTTTTGTAACATTGCTTATACCAATAATTTTCATTTTAGGGTTACCTTGTTGTTCTATATTGATTGCACAGTTTTTCATTTTCTTTTTTAATGCATTTTCCACTGTTTCAAGACTTTTAGTATTCATACAGTTAATTTCGATGACGTTGTCATTCTTCTTGCGAATGAACTTAGTTTGAATGTTTTTCTCTGTGACAAGACAGCTCGTCAACAGTTCCATTGTGTCTTTCTGATTGGGGTCATTGGCCTTCACTGTAATTCTTGGAATTCGCTTCGGCTTTGGTTTAATTTCACTCATCGCTTCAGCATATGTTTTCTTATTTATCTGTGTTTCCGTATTTTTTTGTTTTTGCAATTCTATGATGTCTTTCTGTAATTGATTTTTATCTTGTAATTCAGCAACTAGTTGTTTTAGTAAGTTGTTTTCAGTTATCAAACTGTCAATGTCACTTTCTTCTTTATTAATCACCGCATTATGTTTTTCCAATGTTTTATTCTGTAAATCTTGAAGCAATTCTTCTCTGATTTCTTTAGTTTGTTTCATTTTTATTAGTGCAATAACTTTTTTTGCCACATCGTTTAACATATGCTCATCAGAGTTTGAAGTTATATCTCTGAGTACGTGTTCTGGGCAGATTATTAGATGTTCACCAACGTATTTAGGTTCTTTTTTTTTTCTCAAAATCACTCTTGTGGTATGCATTTTCACATATAATACAGATGACTGTTTTTACTGGTTTATTAGGATGACACTTATAGTATTTTAAATCGGACTTATCCGGCGGGCGTTTGTTACTGTTGGCCATGTTGGCACGATATGATAGATTAGACATACATAGGGTGAGAACTATATGAACTTATCGGTATAGTAAGTATTAATAAAGCGGTATATTAGCAAACGCAGGCTTGCGTCGCGGAGCGCGGGCAGACACGTCTGCACGCTCTGGACGCTCGACTACTAATTTGAAGTCCCTCATTCTTCAAAAACCGACTAAGGAAGTTGGACTTCGGGTCAACTTCCCCATTGT